AGACTGGTGGGTAAGCCAGGCGAAGCTCTATCGCAATTTTTTCCTGACCCTTCCTTATGTTGAAATCATCACCATGAAGCTTTAGTTCACTGTCATTGGATTCGGAAAAGCAGGGCAACCGAACACCCATCTGGTTTCAACAATTGTATGTCGTCCTGTCATCTGCGATCGCTAGCCTACAACATAAAAGAAGACGTGGATTTGGCGCCTCATCGAGCTATTAGTTTCGTCGAACATAGCAATAATGACACCTTTTTGGGTTCAATTCACCTTTAGCCTTGAAAAGTAACCAAATCGTTTTCTTGACCCTACTTTTTCTTCTCCCTAGCGTTAGTCCCGCGAAGTCGCAGGGTCCGCTGTCTTTATCAGTTGTCGCCACTCCCTCCGCCTAGGGCATCTTCTGCTGCGGCCCGTTTTCTCTCCACATCCTAATAAATTTTTCGAGAGCCCACTCTAAGCACCTCTTCACTGTCTCGTCCAGAGAAACTATCGAACGTTTCCTTTCCAGAGCGGAGCTGCAAAAAACTTACCAAGATCGAAATTGTACATGACGTAAGTCATGAGAATGTTTTGCAACATCGCCAGATTCGGATTCCCGTCACCGCTAAAGAACTCCATTGATCGATCGGTACGCGCAACATCTTTTTCTGCAAGTATTTCACAATTAGGTTTGTTATGGGATACAGTGTGTTGCACAAGCATGGATCACCCCATCATTCTTCGATATTCCTGAAACAAATGAATGATTGTTTTCCAAATTTTCATCAGCAATACCTCACCTTATGCACGCCCATGAACAAATAGAATGCTTAATTGTCTCCCTAGCAAGCGAAGGTCGTTTCACAGCTTTACAAAAACTCAGAAAATCTTCTAAATGCCCGATTCGACACCCTCCGCTAGACGAAAGTCTTCAAAAAATCCAATTTCAATTTGAGTATCTCGTAAATTAGCTTCCTACGGCAGAGGTCATCGTGCGATCGCAAAAGCTCAGATCTCGGACGCCGCAACGTGACGCAAAGGGCAGACAAAGGGGTTGTGACGCCGCTCTTCATCTCTCTTCATCGTCATCTTAATTCATTTCTTTGCTATGATGATTATCCTACTACTTATTTGTGCTTGCTGTGCAAAATAGATGTCAATTTACAGTGCCAGCTGTTGCAACAATAGATGTCAATTTACACGTCCACCTTTAGAGAATGGGTAAGTAAGCTAAAGCAGTAACCCAATGCAATTCCGACGCGTGTTATTTATTGTGTCGCATTCGAACGATCGCATCGTCTTATCGCACCACAGCCCAAGATGAGATCAAACGTAGCTATTTGAAATTTGCAGCAGAATTTTTTTTAGGAAGAAACGAACGAAACCATAAACTGACCTACAAGACCCTTTCGCTGGCTGTAGCTAAAGAAACGTGACTCCTGGTCTTCGCTGATGGACAGCCACTGAGCTTTCAACCTTTCGTACTCTTTTGCTAGTTTTGCTCGTTTCTATAATTAACAAAATGACAATTACGAACATCACGCAGAATACTATAACTGTCTATAAGTATAAAAGTCTTATAGTAAATGATTACATCGACAAAAAAGGCCTAGGCACATCGGAATGTGTTTGCTGCGAAAACTTAGTAGCTCTACATTGAGACATTTTTGAGTTAAAGGCAAGAATCAGGATTACATTGATGGGTTGATTTCACTCAAATGTGAAAGTAGGGAAGATGTGGACTGCCAATGGAGAAAAAAGGAAAGATCCTGAAGAAGAGAGAGCATAGTAGATCACGCAAGATTACAACGGCAGACAAAACATCGATCTGGTGGGCGGAGCCATGTTAGTTTGGTGGAGTTAGAAAGTACGTGGCGTCTAAGGTCCTATTACGGTTCGATGTAGAAAGGTGGCACTAACTTTGCATTTCGGTGCCCATCACTTCTATCCATGGTAAGAGCCTCTTAGGTGGGCCGCCTCTAAGTGCTTGTTGTGATGAAAAAGTGAAGACGTTCGATTCCGAATATTTCACTTATCATGTTAACTCAAAAAGAACTAACTTTACATCAAGAGAGACATGGTCACACTATTCTATTATACACCCAAGTTAGAGCCAAATGCACACAATAGGGTAACTTCGTCACACATATACAACATGAAACAGAAATATTGACCATTTATGATTGCAGAATAATAAAGGGATTGCTTTCGGTAAGGACCCAGCCGTTCAAGCTATACCCGGAGCACTTTTTTCAATCGCAAATTGGTATTATTTGAATGCGTCTCAACTTCTCCAAGCCTTACACCAATCAACCGATTACGAAGAAATGGAAAGCATGCTCTAGGCAGCATTAAATCCAAAACTTTAACCTTCGACCTGTGCACTTTGACCTCGGTCAGACTCGGCGATTGCGTCGCTGTACACCAGCGACGGAGTCGCTGGCGACGGAATCGCCGGCGACGGAGTTGCCCGGCACAAGAGTGGCAGCAACGGGCGATGACTCAGCACACGATCGATATCGGTTGGCAGGGGGAGATTAATCATCCTCACCCATCGTTCATGTTGTTCTGCTCGGTTTTTTTTTCAAATTCTTAATCAGGATAGTGGTCCTCCCTGTCATTGTAATAACTTCAAAGGTATCTTGAAGTAACTAGCTCGAAACTTGATTGGTTCTTTGATCGAGTGGGAAAATCCATGATAGTTGTATTTCACAACTTCTTTTGGTGGGTCATTTCATCACGTCAATTATTACAGGACCACTTTCCTCGCATTCAAGTGCATCCCACGCAGTCTTTTCCTGATTATAATTATCGTCCCTATCCTGATTAAGAATTTGAGAAAAAAAAAACCGAGGCGAAGAAACAACATGAACGATGGGTGAGGATGATTAATCTCCCCCTGCCAACCGATATCGATTCGTGTGCTGATGAGTCATCGCCCGTTGCTGCCACTCTTGTGCCGGGCAACTCCGTCGCTGGTGTACAGCGACGCAATCGCCGAGTCTGACCGGAGATCTTTGTAAGCTGTGCTTTTTGCTACTACAGTTCTCTATGCATTAGCAAATATTGGAATATTAAAAATAGTTCCAGCCCTCAAACTTGTTGTAAGAACGAAAAATTCGAATTAAGGAAAACGTTCCAATAGATACTCAAGCATACCTTATCAAACTGGCTATTAGTTTCATCCCAAGCTCTGTAACCGAGCAAGTACTTCCATGCCTCTTTACGCAAATCAGGATCCAAGCCTGAAACCATTTTATATGAAATGATTGACAATTAACCAATGGTTCGCTACATCAACAATCTGTTCTTCTTCACCAACCTCCTCTAAATACGTTCATCTTCAGGTGGTGAATGTTCGGCTGATCAACAGTTCCGTCAGCCATTTTGAATTTGTCCCAGATTTCCTGAATTACAAAAATTGGTAGTTCAAGTTGGAAATACACAAGGAAAATTACTGGTAATGGGGCAAAGTCTCGGCCACTCGATTCGCGTCAGAAGCGAAAGGCGGTATGACGAGCTGATGGACAGGTGGTAACTTTCGCAGCACGAGCGGTTGGAAATGGGAAAATTATCGCTTGCATTCGCGACTGCTTTCAGTGAGTGGAGCCTTGTAGTAGGCTATTCGTGAAGCAACGCACCTGAGTAACTGGTGACTCTCTATAAATTTCAGGACGAGGTGGAAGTTCAAGTTGGGTGACAAGCTCGAACTCCGAGTTAGCATCCAGATTTACCCTGAACATATAGAAGTACGCTGAAGTTTTCATACGCCAAGAAGTTCTTCACTGTAATCAGTTACCGAAGTTTTGAAGCATCATCTTCTCTTTGACAAAGTTCTCGCATTGCGCGTATTTGCTCTTCTTGGCTTACTTCATCCGAGTCAAGCAGAGCAGGAATCATCTGAGTCAGCAATCAAATCAAATACAAATAAACAAATAAACAACAGTACACACTTAGTAAATACAAACAGGGAGAGGGAGAAAATCTTGTCGCACCTGCTCTTGCATGAATGAAGTTATCTTTCCGAAACCGGTCAGAGCAGCTGCGTAGGGGTTCTTCATAAAACGCTGGAAAAAATGAATACATAACAAACTACTCAAAAACGGCAAAGAAAATTATCTTACGATAAAAAAAACCCACCGACAAAACATCGTCGTTCTGTCCCAAAGCGATTACGCTCTGAGCAAGTGCCTCTGTCTTTCCATCCACAACTAGGACAAGATTTGGTTCACGAGCAGACCTCCGCAATGTAATGTATCTGAACATCAGGAAAAGTTGATATCACCAGAAACATCGCAACCATGAGCTACAAAATTTCTGAATGCCCTTAATCTGAATGATAAATACCTCTGAAGAACGTCGACAAAGCCCACTGTTGATTCCGTGGTAAAATATAGTGGGGTGAAGCTGCTACCATCTTTACAAATCAGCCGTATGTACGGATGTCCTTGCCCTAAAAACCAGAAACTGATTGAAATTGCCTAGCAAACGCGATTGACTATTTCCACTCTTCTTGTTTAACTGACCTTTTTTAGGTTCAATGCTTCTGAAACTGCTTAAATCGTTGACATCCAAAGAGAATGCGAGTCTGTTCATCAACTCGCCAGTCACCTGAAAACTTACCAATAAAATCGGATGTTAAGTGTTAATGATAATGTAGAAGATTCAAAACTATGAAAATCCCACAACTACCTTTTCTAATTGATCTAACGCTATACAAGTTCACCACTTCTCGTGATTACTAAACTATCATCTACCTCTCACTACGCTCCCAAACCACTCCCTCCCCTACTACTTGTGTAAGCTGAGCTAACGATGCGATGTGGGGGTGTGAGTTTCAGAAGCATGAAATACGGGAAAGGCGCGGGCGGCTCCGCAGAGCGATGGCAAGAGCAAGAATTTACAGGGCACAAATTAGGGGCGTAAGTTACTCGTCCTCAGGGGAAAGGAATGAAAATTCCTTCAAATTTAGGCTTTTGTGAATCTGTTCCCTAGCCTTCAGGAATTTTTGGCTTTCACATACACAAATACCTTACCCGAACAGCAGCTCCTAATCAGAAGATTCTGGTGTAGCTCTCCCCCTGTGGAAAATTAGCGGCCCTTGATTGGAACGCGGTACCTACACAGGAAGCTGCTTGTAAAACGTTTGACAAGTATAGGAGCAGAGGTTCCCATGCCTCCAGCTGCTACAGGAACCTAAAAATGCAACTCACCCGTTCAGGACTATTCGATGGTGAATGAAGAGTCCCTCGTCTCACTACTACCATCCTCAGCCAGAACCCATCCAGATGTATCTGGACCGTAAGTTGCTCCGTTTTCTTCGCAAGGTGACCATTCAATGAATACACCAACAGCCTAAATGAATGTAATGACGGAAAAATCTAACCGGAACAAGAAAATGAAAGTGTTAAATTTTGGAGTGTATAATGAAACAAGACTGACCTTTCTACATAATAGACACATCCTAAGGACTGGTAATCATTTAGATCATCCACTTCGCTTTTCGTCGACACTCTCCTGATATACGAATGAACGCCACCACAATATAATATTAATCGCAACTGAGGGACGAATACCGCGCGAATTACAAACCACTGAAAATATGCAGTAAAACGGAACAATGGCGCAATGTGCCTCCAGAGTGGAGGGGGGGGGCAGCCTGTTGAAAGGCCACTAGGACTAAGCCTAACGCAGAGGGACCAATTTCTGAGCGAATGAAAAATGCTTACGCTCCGAATTCCTGCTTCTCCTCTCTTACCAGGAAAGGTCATTAGGCCAACCCGGCCAAATGAAATGAGGTGCACATTTCTGTACGCAGCATGAGACGCTGAACTCAAATCTGCTTTCATTATCTGCTGAACTCTTCTCTGAAAGGAGTTACGGAGGGTTTTTGTTGCCGCCCTTGATTTTCAGTGTTTTGCCTGCAATCACATGTTAGCCGCATTATAAAAGTATCGAAAGGAGAACCGAGGCACTGGTGATGTGAGCCTAGGTAGCGCAGTTGGTAGCGGTCGTGTTTCTCACGGAGGGGGTCCGGGGTTTGTTGTTTTGCTTTTTTTTCCAACATGGCTGAAAAGCCTTTTTGAATCTGTTATTTTACCAATGGTCGCCCGACGCTACATCTACGAAGAGTTTGCAAGCTGACCCTCTTAAACTTAAGCACTACTTGTCTGTGAAAGCCTATGGTGCCCGTAGTGCAGGGCTATGCTTTTCCGTGGCAAGTAGGTGATATTCGTATTCAGGGGATCAAACTACCCCTTACAGCGAGTTTTTCGCCAAATCTGAGGCGACGAACTAATTGAGAAAAAGCGGAGCAGTGATGGGATTACCACTCCTCAAACTCCACTTTTTTGGGTTGACCAATCATGGACGACGGGGGAAAGGGGAGAGAAGGTGTTGTATTAGGAAATAATGCTTTGCAGATCTTTGGATGATGCAGACGGGCAAGCCAGACACAATTTTTGTCTATTATGAAAAGTTTTAAAAGGTTTATTCTACCCAAGTGCCAGCCTTTTGTAATGGATTGGTGGATCGGTGAGTAAGTGACTGCCCAAATTTTCGAGGTTAGGTCAAAATTTCAGAATTCGCTAGAAGTTTGCTCAAAGGGAGAGTCTGGACTCCCTGATTACGAATATCATACTTGTTCGAAGCAAAAATGCCTGGCGCCTGCGCTACAAGCGCCCAAAGTAGTGAGGAGCGATGCCGCCCAAGTTCGTTATTAATTGCCCTTAAATTCTTTGTACTGTTAACTATACGCAAGCATGTTGGACTAGCGATGTTAGGAGTCTTCCTAGCTATCTTACTGCAAACGGCAAAAGAACAAACTCGCCAGGGAGTTGATCCCCTGACCTCTTTTTCGTGAGCCTCGACCACAGCCCCTGCGCTTTTCTGCTTCATAATTCCTTTCAGAGAAGAGTTCAGCAGATAAGGAACACATATTTGAGCTCAGCGTCCCAAGGCGCGTATACACATATACATCTCATTTCAAATGGCCGGGTTGACCAAATGACCTTTCCTGGTTAGCTCACAGTTTTCCACGGTCTGGCTCCTTCCTGTCGTGGGAAAGTCTCCGATTCGATGACCTTTTCCACGGTCTGACAGTCGGCGCTCTGAGAAAGGTGCCTAAGAGTACGCTCTGACTGTGAAGTGTTGTTTGTGACACCACATGGCGCCGGCGTCAAGACTGGATGTTATATTCGTGATCAGGACCCCAAATAACCCCTATACACACGTTTTCAGCGGATTTGGTGGAAACAGCCGTGGCGCCAAACAGGCGCCAAACGGCGCCAAATGGCGC